TACGAGATAAGATTTGACGATTTGATAAGATTTGAAGTGTTTCTTAGTACAAGACTTATTCACACAAATTCCTATAAGCACCCTGTTTAATGCTTGATAGTTTTTAATGTAAAATTCACAGTCTGGGGAATGCACTGGGGGCAACTCGGGGTTCAGTGCCTTGTCAAGGTCTTGTCAAGGCATGTGTTTTGTCCTGCCTTCCTTCTCCCACCACAACTGGTCATGGCAGATGGCCGCCCTTCCCTGAGCCTGGTTTTTCCTCCCCACTGTTGCCAAAGTGCTTGGTCATAGGGGCTCATTTGGTTGTTGGGTTTTTCTCTGTATGTATTATTGTAGGGTCTGCCTTACAATATAAAGCACCTTGAGGTGACTCTTGTTGTGCTTTGGTGCTTTATAAATAAAATGGAATTGAATTGAAAATTGAAAAGGATTTTTTGACACGCATGCTAGAAGGGTCAGGGATTAAAAGACTGACCTACAAAAAAGATGATGAACTCCTTCACCTCCTGAGTCACAGCCACCTAATCCACAACAAAAACACCCTAAACAAAAAATAATTAAAAAAATAAATATACGTAGGAGTATTGGCATCAACCGAAATGTTATTTTTTTGGTTTTTTTGCATGTGTAAAAGTGTAAAAGGTATGAGCTATCCATCCTCATAAGCTGCTTTGATCTCCTTGCGTCAGTAAGACATAAAATACTTCTGTTCATACTTAATGCCTTTTAGGACTGTGACTCAATTTCAGTATTAAACGTAAAGTAATCTGAAAAATGTTGATATTATTGTAATATTTGTGAGAGGTTTTTTAAAGTTTCAGTTTTAAGTTTCAGCTTAATTTCATTGCAGTGTATTGAGTAAAATCAAAGAACTGCAATGCCGTGCACGGAAAATAAGATTTTTCCCTTTCAGTGCTGAGCTATATTGTGTGAATTTGATTTCAATATAGATGGATTTTCCATACTCTACTTACACTAAGTAGCGATATCCTGTGTGTTGCAGTTAATCCCCAGGCATTATCATAAATAGATATTTTATTGCTATATGCATTTGTGCTGTATGCTCTGTAGATGTGCTCTCACAGCCAGCAAAACATATAAAGTGAAATAACAGCTGTTTATTGTCCCTAAAGACATTCATGAATGTTTAAATACAGTTTCAGATGCACATTTCATACTCTGCTGACCACATATGTGCAGCTCTACTTGCATTAATCCTGGCAGTACACTGGACCAAAGTCCGACTTTTCCCTCTTTTATTCTCCTACTGGAGCTTTCTTAGAAGCAAAAGGAATTTAAAAACCAGGCTTGGTCCAGCAGATTTACAAAACTGAAGCAAGAGACTGCATGAGCATGGAAAACTTTCAGAGTTTGATTGAGAAAACTAAATTGGACTTTTAGTTTAGAGACTATAACATAAGATATGCATTCTGCGTTTACCTAATACTTTTCCAGCACATTGCTTTAACCTTCCCCTTCACTTTACCATTATGGTCATAGCTGTACATATATATAGATTCTCATAGCAGCCTTGGAGGAAGTGATAAGAAAATACACATCCTGCTGGAGGGGATCTGCCAGAGTCCTGCCAATCAATGTGCAAGTTCACCAAAAGTCAAACAAATATAAGAAAATTTGGTTTTGTTACTCCTGGCAGCACTGTGGGTATGAGGGAATGAGGAATGAGGGAAGAACTAATCTGACAACATACTGGGAATTCCTGACAGCAGGAACAGACAGGACAACGGAGAGGTAAACAATGTGCAGGGCAACCGAAAAGCTTCAAAACGGTGTAAAATAATATTTGCCCTGTGACGGAAAAATACGTACTAACTACATGAAGTGAGGTACAGTGAATGCACTGCTTCATCTTATTATAACAAGTTTACTACATTACTACATTTTTTTCAAACTTCAGCCGCGTTAAAAAACAATTTTCAGTAAAACGTCCCCACTCCATTGCAATAAAACTTTAATATATAAAATAATGACACTTTGATTTACTGGTTGAAGAATAAGGAGTAATCCAAGCGTGTCAGACGTACCGATGTTATTTGAGTGGGCGTTTACCCGGGAGACACCTGTTCCTCTGTCAACTTACAACTTCGACTTACTAATTATGTCTGAATAGGAAGAAAGCTATTAGTTATTTCTTACCTTATTTTTAGAGCGATTGGGAGGGGGGGGGTCCTTTTTCCTCCACGTGTTCAGATGATCACTGTTCCCGCAGTAAATTCAAATTTAATAAATTAAAAGCGCTGAAAAAAAAGATCAAAAAAGGGGAGAAGAATTTAAACCGGCAGACGAGGCAGTGCGTATGTTTGACAGGAGAGGTCTGAAGGTGAGCACCGACTCGATGCAACAGGAAAACGCTCACCCGCAGCCTCGCCGCGCTTCTCGAGTGTGTGCTGATTATACTGCTTAAGTTGTGGGGACATAAATCTGTTTAGTCATACTCTTTTGGGTCCCGCCTTCTTTTTGAGAGCAAAGCCAAAGCCGTTGCTATGAGCCACTAATTTTTCGAGTGTGGACTGAACTCTGGTTAAAGTCAAGAAAATGATATATTTAGGTAAGGTTTGGAGTTGGAAAGGCTTGGAAATAAATTCAGGTCGGCGCAGTGTTGTTGATGTTAGAAACACGACTGTGTGTGGGTGAGTGGCCTAGAGGAATGGAAATAACCGATCATAGAAGAAAGAAAGTGATATTTAAAGAGCAGAACTCAATTAAAATAAATAACACAACGACTACTACTTCCATATCAATAAATAAACAGCCATAACGTGTCTTCTGAGCTCGCCAATTTATTTATTTAGTCTGAATTAGTGTGTTTGTACATTACACGTCAAATAGTACTATAAACTGTGAATATCCTGAATGATTATGCGCGGTGGAGTTCCTCTATACTGTACTGAGTGATGATTTGTCATACACCAAACTGCGGTATGTAAAGAACCAAAGAATGCTGTATGCAAAATGTCAGTTTTTATGGCATCCTTTGAGTCATGTGACGAGTTTATTATATCAGTGGTTTGGGAGTCAGATATTAGTTCTGGTTCCTGCTTCTAATAAATTATGCATTAACTTTACATTTGAAGTAAAATAAAAAGCTGCTCTTACAGGCTATTCAGGACTTTATCAAATATGGTGCACATTAAAAAAAACACATGGGAAAAGCTCAAATCCGTACTGAATGGTGTTAATCTTTTGGATGTTCGGGCATCACTACTAAAAAAGGAAGAAAGATGGAAATCACTGTATGGGTTCAGAAAAACTTGAAATAAAACAACAACAAACAAAGGTTGTTGGTGCACCCAAGTTAAACTATGCAGGAATCTCAAAGATGCCAAAAACTGTCCCTCTAATGATCACTTGAGGCTGGCTTCAAAAGAGAGTCATTTCCCACAGAGTCATGTTAAAAATACAAAAGTTAACAAACTATACAATCTTATAGGTATAGTTTTCCCTTAATAACGTAACCTTTGAGATACTGATAAGGGTTAAACTTAGGGAAGTGACTGCTTTGATTGACAGATGTGGTAACAAAGGGAACTGTAACCAATACCTGTCTGTTAGTGCTCATGTCCTCTAATTCGACTCACTGACCGAAACCTTTACACTACAGTGCTTTCAGGAGCACATAATGGAGTGATCCGATTTAATATTACAGCTTGCTGTGTCTTAAGAAGCTTGAGCTTTTTTAGTTTCTGTATAGTGAAATTCAAGTATTTAGTAACTGGCTCCATGTGGTGTGCACATTCACTTAGCTAGCCAAAGATTCTGTCCCAGGTGGAAACAAACATTTGGAGGTTGTATAAGGAAGGGCATCCGGTGTAAAAGTCTGCAATATCGAATATGTGCTGATACCTGCTGTGGTGGTCCCTTGTAAATATGGGAGCAGCAAAAAATAGCTTACTTAGTATTAACCAGAAAATAGTTTTGTTTATAAACAAAGCTTCCTAAACTTTATTTATGGTTCCTAAAAAAAAACAAATGGCGTCACTAAAACTGCTAATGTTTAACAACAGTGGATGATGTTATGGTGGCCATGTCCATTTTTTATCTACAGTCTATGGTTAACACATCACCATGTAAGGAAAAAATATTTATACACAAGATTCAGCTACCAGCTTCTGTAGGCCGAGCTCATTTAAGATAAACTGAGGAGAACAGGAAAACTGTCAGAGCCATCATCCCACGATCCCAGGAGGAGAGGGACCAACCGGCTTGTTATCAGCGCGCTCTTAAAAAGTGACTCTGAAGAGAAAGAGTCCAGGTGCTAATCTGTCAGCCATTGAAAAGATTTGATGCATTCTGAGAAAAAAAAATGCAAAAACAGCTGAAACTTTTATGTTACGCAAGAATGGAATGACGTTTTTATTGATTTCCTCAGTTGCCCAAAAATGTGCAGAGTTGCCAAAATGTGACATGAATCAACACTGCGGTAACGCCGTGTCCCAACACTTTGGGGTTTCTAGAATCAAAATAAAATCTGAGAGTATTTCTCCAAAAAACAATCCATTTCAGATTCATTAGATACAAACGTCTCGTTTAAATTAAATAAATGTTTTAAATGATTTAGAAAAATGTTTATTGTGTTATTTTTGTGGAATTTCTAAATGTTTCATGAGCGTTTTTGTACACTGAGTTTTATAAATGTTGAACATCCAAAGATTAATTTTTTTCTTTCCTTTTTTTTTTACAAACTATCTCAAATGATAAACATGATGCCCAGCAACATTACGATGCATATGTAGTTAATGTTTTAAACACTGTTTAGCCTCTCTAGGTTTTCTGGATAATACTATACTACCACAGACTTCACAAAAAAAGGGGGGTGATTTTGTTTAGATACAGGAGATTTTATTTAGCATTTTGTGTACAAACATAGGCCGCAAATGCCTTCCAAACATGTTTGCCCTCAGAATACAGTATTCCTTTTTTTCATTATTCCTTTTTACAGTTCTACAAGCAGAACATTGAATATTTAACAGGAACAAGAGTTAAAAGTTGAGGAATAAAAAAAAGTGTTGTTGGTCACCAAGTCTCATCCTCACCTTTACATCGTTATATGCTCAGTAATGCAAAAGAATACTTTTTGAAGGTTGGAAAAGCCTAATTTAATGGCAGCATGTTGTTGAAGAAGTGGCAATAGCAGTGTCGTGTACAGTAAATGCAAGAGATTTGGAACTTTCATATAGAAGAATATATGGTCAGAGTACTCCACAGAAAAACGAAACCTTTTTTTTTTTTCTCGGTTGGGACTGAGGTTGTGGAGGGAACTGTATTATGGAGGGTACATGCAGTTACGGTGACAATCAACAGACCAAAACAATGCAGATTTAGACTAATATAAGACTCTTTTCTCCTCTACCACATACTGTACTGATAGTTTGGATTTTGAAAGAGACTAGAGATGTACCGTCTCAATCCCCAACGATCAGCGAACGCCACATTAAATAAAAGAGAAACCAGATTATGCATACTCTAGTATTATACACATTATACAACTCTATGGAAAAAGCAGGAGGAGTCTGAGTTCCGGGAACTCACAGAATCTACCTTTTAAATTAAGAAGAACCTGCACTTCCTATTAGCTAGACAATCACAGTGGCCAGTCTGTTGTTCAACACAAATAACTAAATATGAACTGACAATGCAGGAACTGAGAGTTGAAAAATCACTGCAGTTCTACATAGTCAGGGCCAAATAGAGACAAACAGTTGTAATTCTAAGACGTAAGATTTTCCCAAAGAAAGCACACCAGATAAAGACAGTTTTTGAACATTAATTTAGCTTTAGATGGCAACATCTTAAATAAATAGATCCAGGCTGTGCAAAAGCATAAATAAATAAAAATAGAGGATATAAAACTTAAGAAAATAACAAAGATGGACTTGGGGAAAATGTTTTGATCCATTGCCCTAAAAAGACAGACAGATGTTAACACAGTTTCTCTTTTAACATTATGTGCATCACAGTCAAATGAAGGTGGCAGGTAGGATAGGCATGGAGCTGAGAGTATGAGCTAAGACCACACTTAAGTTTAAGGTCCTGTCTTAGTCGTCAGCGAGATGAACGATGTGTGGCTGTCCTCAGCAAAGGCAACGGGAGAACGAATGTTTTCACAGTCAGCACTATCACTGACATTCAGAGGCCCACGGGCGCTAAACAAAAGCGTAAGTGTCGAGGCACGATAGGGTAGAGTAGAGCAGGCAATTAGGACTTGCTATAAAGGTAACAAGTGTAATAATGAATAAATGACTGGTGGTGGTGCATTCGGCCTCTCACAACCTACAGGAGTACAGGCAAGAAAAATATCTTTGAGATGCTGCAAGGGCAAAGCGAGAGCAAATGCGACGTTTAGAGGGTTCACCTGTATCCGAATGCAAGAACTGTGTTTTCCATCATAATTTACTCATGTGTGCTTTTCCACTCCATCTTCATCGTGGCCACAAGCACACGTGAACCCTTATCAGATCCATTTAACTCATTCATTGGTTTTACAGCCAGTCATGATAACTAGCCTTGAATTGGCTATAAAAAGTAAGCAGTATAAGCAGTAGTGATATAAAAATCTTTAGAAAAAAAAAAGAACAAAGAAAGGATAAAGATCCCCATGAACTACATCCCACATCATGGATACAACACAGCAATAGCAGGAGCGCACAGAAATAAAATGAACAAAACATGCCTGCATGTTAAATCAATCATACTGCAAAAAAAAACAAACAAAAACATTTTAAGAGCTTGTCTCTAACTTGGCCAGTGAGTTGTGGACAAATAATCAGGAGGACATTTTGCCATGTGTGCGCAAGCAAATCAATATTCCTTCATTTAAGACAAAAGATGCGCTGTTCGCTGGACATAAACGCAGAGTGCTCAGGTCACTTCAATGGTAATACAGTAGTTCTAACATTGCATTAGTGCACTTCTGCAGCCACAGATTAAATGGTTACAAAAGGAGACAACGCCATGTGTGTATGAGATGTATCATGACATTGCATAATGTCTACACTAGACAGGCAATCTCTGGATGGGAGATGTGCTGATAAGGACCAGCTAGCAGTCAAAGAGCTTCAGTCTTTTCCACAGCAACATACAGTATGAACTACAAAGTGTGTGTTACCTTCATAATATTAATAATAATAACAATATCGAAATGAAGAACTGATAGAAGAGCTGAGCAGTTTCTATTAGAACAAGGCTAAATCTTGCTTAATTACTGCAAGACTTGAAGTCAAGGCTAAAACCTACTACTTTCTTAAACAGAAACCTAAGTTCACATAGAAAAAAACAAACAAACCAATTTCTCCCCGACGACCCCAAAATAAATTACAGTAACAGCAACAATGATTATACTGTTAACCAAAAAGAAAAATACAACTTTAAGATTATGTACATGTACTTTATCTGTAAATACAACCGCTTCCTTTTTCCTAACAAAAACCCCCCAAAAAACATATTGATTTGGCAAGACGTCCTATGTTACAATGCGAAGGA